GATCCCACAAACGCAGAGCATTGTCTTCTTTCCAAAGCGATTTGGCCTTGCAGTCCATGTTGATGGTTGACCTGGGTCAACCCATTATTTTGTGCATTTGGGATTCTCAAAATAAATCCACTTTTCATCGCCAGTCACAATTCATGCAAAAAAGACTTTCTCGTGCTGTTGAAGCAACATCTTAGTGATGACTTTTCGGTTTTCCATTTGTCTTTCATTTGGTTGATATGGCACCCATTTTATTTCTTTTAAAATCTTTCCCATGGCTTGTAAATGATTGGAAATTAGAGATGGAGCATGTTCACCATAAGCTTCCTGAAGTATACAATAACTTTTAGCAGCACCCTTCTTCAAAATAAAGAAATGAATTAAAACTTCCCCCAAATGCTCTTTTTTCGACACGAAATTTGACATTTAAAAAATATATATTTGCCGAAACCGGTTTGGCTCAATGGATAGAGCGTTGGCTTGGCAACTGAAAGGTCCCGGGTTCGATTCCGGTCAAGGGCATGTACCTTGGTTGCGGGCACATCCCCGGTAGGGGGTGTGCAGGAGGCAGCTGGTCGATGTTTCTCTCATCGATGTTTCTAGCTCTCTATCTCTCTCCTTTCCTCTCTGTACAAAATCAATAAAATATATTTAAAAAATATATATATATATAAATATATATTTTATTGATTTTCCACAATCAATAAAATATATTTAATATATATATATATATAAATATATATTTTATTGATTTTCCACAATCAATAAAATATATTTAAAATATATATATATATAAATATATATTTTATTGATTTTCCACAATCAATAAAATATATTTAAAATATATATATATATATAAATATATATTTTATTGATTTTCCACAGAGAGGAAGGGAGAGGGATAGAGAGCTAGAAACATCGATGAGAGAAACATCGACCAGCTGCCTCCTGCACACCCCCTACCGGGGATGTGCCCGCAACCAAGGTACATGCCCTTGACCGGAATCGAACCCGGGACCCTTCAGTCCGCAGACTGATGCTCTATCCACTGAGCCAAACCGGTTTCAGCTGAAATTCAACATTTTTAAGCATAAAAATATCTATGATGTTAACACCTTCAACAAATTTGACATATAAAGTTTTGAATATATATCAAATCGCATATATTTCAACATATGTGTAACTCCATCTATTGAAAAAAAAATCCGCCTTATTAACCGGTACACCTTATATTTTCTATCGGGTCTTCCCCGTTCAGGATCTAGTCCACCGTCCAGCCCAGTTGCAAACCCTGTGGCTCATCCTGACTCCTGGCTCCATCTCACATCTAATCTGGTTACACTCCTCCCCCCACCACTCTGCTTCTCTCCCTGAGCCAGTGTCTCCCCACTTCCATCCCTGCCCCCCTTGGCCACCCTCTGAACTGCAGCCAGAGCGATCTTTTTTTTTTTTCTTTTCTTTAATTTTCACCGGAGGATATTTTTTTCCATTGATTTTTTTAAAGAGAGTGAAGGGGAGGGAGGAGGGAGAGAGAGAAAGAGAAACATTGTTGTGAGCTCTCGCACAACATGGATGGGTTGCCTCCCACTTGCACCCCCAGGAGGATGGGGATCAAGCCTGCGACTGAGATACAGGCTCTTGACAGGGAGTTGAAGCTCTGTCCACTGAGCAAACCGGCCAGGGTGAAAGCAATCTTTTAAAAGACAAATCATCGCACTCCTTTAGTTATCCCCTCCAATGTCTTTTCATTGCACTTTTTAAAAAGCTTATTTTACTGATCTTTTTTTACAGAGAGGAAGGGAGAGGGATAGAGAGAAACACCGATGAGAGAGAAACATCCATCAGCTGCCTCCTGCACACCCTCTACTGGGGATGTGCCTGCAACCAATGCCCTTGATCAGAATCAAACCTGGGACCTTTCAATCCGCAGGCCAACGCTCTATCCAAACTGGTTAGGGCTCATTGCAGGTTTTTTTTTTGTTTTGTTTTGTTTTTAATAATATATTTTTATTGATTTTGTACAGAGAGGAAGGGAGAGAGATAGAGAGTTAGAAACATAGATGAGAGAGAGTCATCGATCAGCTGCCTCTTGCATACCCCCTACTGGGGATATGCCCGCAACCAAGGTACATGCCCTTGACCGGAATTGAACCCAGGACCCTTCAGTCCCCAAGCCGACGCTCTATCCATTGAGCCAAACCGGTTTCAGCTCATTGCAGTTTTTTAAAAAGGCCTAGGTCAGTGGTCAGCTCTCGAGCCGAGGCTTGCCGCTCTGTTGACTAATGAGTTTGCCAACCACTGACCTAGACTCTCGGTTCCAATAATTACAGGCTGTTGTTCCTTGTGATGAAGCCCCTATCGGTGGCCCTCTCCTCTCCCCACACTCCCCCGGCTCCCTTCCCCAGCTTGTCCCCTCCTCCCCCCGGACAGTGACCCCACCCGCTCCCTCTCCAGGGACACTGTTCCCCCAGAGCCCCCGGCTCCCTTTCACTGACACCTCCACTCAGCGTTACCTCCCACCCCAGCGGCTCTGTTCTTGGGAAACTGTTTTGTTTTGTTCGTAGCATTACTGCTCTTTGAAACGATCTACTAATTTATCTTCTGTGTTTCCTGTCTGCCTCCTCTCCGCAGAACGTCTGTGCCCCAGTGCCTCCGCTTGAGCCCAGCATGGGCGCCATAAACACTCGCTGAACGCATGGGGCTATAAGGACCCCGTGCAGGGCTCTGTCCCTTAGCCATGACCTTGGGGAAGACCTCCCAGCGGAGGGCAGTTTGAGCTGAGGTTGGAGGGCCTGTAGGCGTTGGCCAGAAAGACCAGTTCATGCAGAGGAACAACTAAAAAGGACGTGAGACGGTCCTAGAGCATGGAGTGTTCTGGAAACTGTACGTAGTCCCGTTTGGCTGGAGCAGAAAATTGGGTGGGAGGAGCGGTCAGAGGAGGTGGAGAAGTCAGGACGCCATGCAGGGCCTTGCTGCTCTCGGAGGGGTTTGAGCTCTTTGCTGAGGGCAATGGGCACCTCCCTTCCCCATGTCAGGCGTTTTAGAACGGGCCATGGGGTGCAGAGTGGCTTCCAGGGATGGGAGGTGGGGGGAGGAAGCTGGGCGGTGCAGGGGGGAGTGGGCGGTGCAGGGGCCAGGTGAGTGATGCTGATGCCCCTGAGCCAGGCGAGTGGCCACGTGCAGGAGACGTGGGGAGGTGGTCTTACCAGGACGGGGTGATGGATCAGGCCGAGAGAGGGGCTTGCTATCAGCGACCCCAGGGCTGCAGCTGGCAGGACTGGGTGGACGGAGGCCACCAGAGGGTTACAGGTTTGGGGGAAGGCTGAGGTTCTGTTTGGGACAGATGGAATTTGGGTCTCGGCAGGCAGTTTTCCAGAAACACGGACTTAGTAGCTGCTCCAGGAGATCAGCTGCTGAGGAGAGAGCCCTCATGGGTGGGAAGAGGTGCCCATGGGAGGAGGCTGGTCCTGCAGGAGCAGGGTGGCGGGAGCAGCCTGGCCTGTGTCCGTTCTGAATGGGGAGGAGGAAGCAGGATGAGCGAGGCAGAGACCCCCTCCGAGAGGTTTGGAGGGGAGGGGGCTGCAGCTGGGGCTGGCAGGCAGAGTGGTGTTTTGTATTCTGTTGGGGAGATTGCAGTCCTTTGGGAAGTCGAAGGAAGGATCCAGAAGAGAGGGAGGGTTTCGATCCAGGAGGGGCCAGGGGATGGATTTGGAGCCCAGGCTGGCTCTGTCCTGAGGACAGAGTCCTGTCCCATTGTCCCAGGCAGTGAGCGCAGAGGCTGGCCTAGGGCGGGAGGCGCAGGGTTTGGAGGCTGGAAATGAGAGTTCCCAGCAGGAGAGAGAGGCCGTGTGCCTTCCATCGCAGGGCTATCCGCTGGGAGTGGCTCCACCTGGAGAAGCTTCCACTGGTCTGGGGGAGGCTGAGCAGCCAGGTGAGACCTGGCTCCAGGGTTCATGCCCCACATCTGCCCCATCACCAGGCCCCCATCCCTTCGCCTCTCAGGGGACAGAGTGTGCACAGGCTTGGCCCTCCTCCCTGACGCTGGGAAGAGGCTGAAGGAAGACTCAAAGGTGTCACAGGAAGCAGGTTTTCCTGGTGGGTGGTGGGCGGGGTGGGGAATGGGAGGGAAACCTGGCTTTTGAGTCCTATCTCCAGCTCATCTCAAGATCCTAGCCCAGCGGACTGAAGGGCCCCGGGTGCAATTCCGGTCTAGGGCACATGCCCGGGTTGCGGGTTCCATCCCTAGTAGGGGGCGTGCAGGAGGCAGCCGGTCAATTAAAAATGTTTTTGAGAGAGCCCAGCTCATCCCCAGGGGAGGCTGTATCCCCGGGCTGCGCGGTGCCTCCTGGCTCTGCCTCGGGCTAAGAGTGAACTTTGTTTTCTTAAAGGATCGAAGCAGCGCCGGTGCCGGCGACAGAGGCGAGGGCGATGCCGCGCGGGAGACACCGGGCTCCGGCCACCGCGGGACGGCGCCCAGGTCAGGGGCCCCGCGCCACTGGGCTCTGCGGTTCCGCCTGCGGCCGCCAGAGGGCGCGCGGCGCGCGGCGGGGCCGGGGCCGGGGCCGGGGCGGGGCGGGGCGGGCCGCGGGGAGCGGGTCCTGTCCGGGGGTGGGTGGGTGGCTGAGGTCCGTGGGTCGGACGTTGGGCCAAGGAAGCCGGGTTAGGGACCTCGGGAGCTCGATTTCGGGGGTTGCATCCCGGGGACTTGGAGAGGAGCGTGCGCAGCGCCGGGAGGCTCGATGCCGTCACCCCTGACCCGCCCCCCTCCGCGGCCCCCCCGCGGGCGCCCCGCCGGGAGGGGGCTGCTCCCGGGCGCGTGTGGGGCGGCCCTCGGGGCCCCGGTCCTGCGTCCCCCCGGCCGAGGAGAGGACACTTGAAAGCCCCCACCTAGGGGTGGGGAGTGGGACCCCACTTTGGGGGGGTACGCTACCCCTGTTCCCTTCTGGGCCGCCACGGCCCCACCCCGGGCCCGGCCCCGCCCCGGCCCCGCCGCGCCGCCCACTCCCCTCGGCCGGGCCGGAGCCCGGGGCCGCCGCCGCCGCCGGAGCCGGAGCTCGCCATGCGCGCCGCCCCGCTGCGCCCGCTGCTGCTCCTGCTCCTGCTGGGCCCGCGGCTCCCGGCCACCGGCCTCGCGGAGCCGCCCGCCGTGGTGCTGGCCGTCCTGGCCCGCAATGCCGCGCACTCGCTGCCGCACTACCTGGGCGCGCTGGAGCGGCTGGACTACCCCCGCGCCCGGCTGACCCTCTGGTGAGAGACCCGGGCGCGGGCACCCCCCGGGCATCGCCCCCAACTCCAGCGAGGCCCTCTGCGCCCAGGCCGGACCCACCCAGCAGGCTCCTCCCCGGCAGACAGGCCCTGGTCAGCCCCCGGCCCCAGGCGGGACCGGCCCCCTGGCCCTGCAGACTGACCTCCAAGGCCGGAGGCTGACCTCCGAGGCCATGGACTGACCCCCAAGGCCGTGCGCTGGCCTAGGACACCCGCCCCGGCCCCTGCGCCTCCTCTTGCCACCTCCTCTGGTGTGAGTCGGGCTGGGCCCCTCTGGCTGTCAGTGCCCACGCTCAGCCCCCGGGACCTGTGGTGGTTGGCTTGGAGGGAGCAGACAGGAACAGCAGACATCCCCTGGGGCCCGAGGTGGCAGGCATCAGTAGGTCTGGGGGTTCCCGGGTAGCAGTGGGGGTGCAGGCAGCCCTGGGCTCCAGTCTGCTCTGCAGGGGAGTCCGACTGCTCCCCCTCCCGCGGGGCTGGTCCCAGGCTGTAGGGGGCAGGTCCTGCCAGCTGATGGCAGTGCCCCCGCTGCTCCCCCACCCCCAGGGGTCCCCACCAGCACTGGCTTCAGAGGCCACAGCCTGCGACAGCGAACAGGGAGGAGCCCCACGCTGAGGTTGGGGATGAAAGGAGGGAGATGACAAACTACCCCTCACAGCCCGCCAGGCTGGGGGTGGAGCCGTGGCCTGGGGAGGCCGCCCACAATTACCACAGTTTGGGAGCTCCCAGTTCCCACCCCTATGGGACCTGACACGTAGTTAGTCTTCATTTCTGGGGAATTGGCTTAAAGGGACAGTGCCACCTAAAACCTGGCTTTTCACCGAGCCCCGAGCCCCGGCTCGGCCGTGGGAGCCTTCCAGAGGAGAGGAGAGCGTGTTCCGTGTCCGCTCCTCCCAGGACACGCGGTGCGTGTGAGCCTCTGACAGCTTCCCACAGAGAGAAGCATCAGCTCCTCCGTCCAGTCCCGACTCGGGGCGGGGCTGATGCGGCCACACAGAAGGAGGGACGGTAACAGGTGTGGCCGGTGTGTTCTTCAGAGCGAGGTGCTCTCCATCTTTGGAGATGCACTCCAGCTGTTTCCTCCGCCTGCTGGTCATCGTACCGTCAGAAGGAAGAAGGTGAAGGCCGAGAGGGGCGGGACTTGCCTTCGGTCACCCCGGGGGTCACAGACCTGTGAGGGCACCCGGCTGCCCCCTTCAGCCCCTCCTCCATAGCTTACCTCCCGCCCGCTCCTGGGAGAAGCCAGCCTCGCAGGTGTGGTTGCTGCAGAGTCAAGGTGGCCTCGGGGTTTGGTTCCTCTGTGGCTGCGCCCCTTCACCCCTCTTCCTCCTGTGTCCCCAGGTGTGCCACGGACCACAATGTGGACAACACCACAGAGATGCTGCAGGAGTGGCTGGCCGCCGTGGGCAATGACTATGCAGCCGTGGTCTGGAGGCCTGAGGGGGAGCCCAGGTGGTGAACTGGGGGGCAGGGGCGGGTAGGCAATAGCTATAGTCCAAGCCACAGGCTCCCAGCACGGCCCTGCAGGAGGAGGCGCCTACCCCGGGACATCTCATGTCGTTCCCCTCAGGCCCTACCCGGACGAAGAGGGGCCCAAGCACTGGACCAGAGAGAGGCACCAGTTCCTGATGGAGCTGAGGCAGGAAGCCCTGACCTTTGCCAGGGACGCTGGGGCAGACTACATCCTGGTAAGCAAGCCTGGCCTACGCCTGGGATCTGTTTCTGACAGAAGTTCTGGTGTGACCCCCTCCTGCAGGCTAGCAGCCTAGGTCAGAAATCAGATCCTGCCGAGACCAGTTTGGCTCTGCGGATAGAGCGTCGGCCTGCGGACTAAAAGGTCCCGGGTTCGATTCCAGTCAAGGGAATGTACCTTGGTTGCGGGCACATCCCCAGTGGGGGGTGTGCAAGAGGCAGCTGATTGATGATTCTCTGTCCTCGATGTTTCTAACTCTTTATTCCTCTCTCTTCCTCTCTGTGAAAAATAAATAAAATATATTCAAAAAAGAAAAAAAGAAATCAGATCCTGAGCTTGGGTCCCTGAGCTTGATTGAACTCAGGCTGGCTATTAAGCCTGGATCCCTGAGACAGACTCCACGGTATATACTGAGTCTAGTTCCCCAAACTAGGGCTCAGACGAGGCCTGTGGATCTACTCCCCAAGTCAGATCTCTGAGACAGTTCTTATTAATAGATCAGCAACTCAGTTCTTTTTTTTAATTTTATGTTTGTATTATTTCCAGAGAGAGAAGGGGAGGAGGGATAGAAACATCAAGGAGAGAGAATCACCTATCGGCTGCCTGCTGCACGCCCCCTACTGGGGATCTAGCTGGACAACCCAGACGTGTGCCCTGACCTGGACTCAAACCGTGACCTCTTGGTTCATGGGTGGACACTCAACCACTGAGCCACACTGGCTGGGCGAGCAGCTCAGTTCTTATGTCTGGACCCAAACTCTGAGCCAGCGCCCCAGACTGGCTCCTTGGTCCAGAAGATGTGTAGTTTGTAGGTTAGGCCTCCCGAGGGGAACAGCTTCTGGGAGCCTGGCCGTCTGGAGGGGTCCCACCCAGCGAATCCCTGGGGGCTGCACCGGGGTCGGTGACACGCCCTCCTCGCAGTTTGCAGACACCGACAACATTCTGACCAACAACCAGACCCTGCGGCTTCTGGTCGAGCAGGGGCTGCCCGTGGTGGCCCCGATGCTGGACTCGCAGACCTACTACTCCAACTTCTGGTGCGGGATCACCCCGCAGGTGAGGCCGGGCTGGGGCCTCAGGGAGCTGGGGTCCTGGGCGGAGGGACCCCGAGACCAGAGGGCCCGGCGGCCTTGGGGTCTGCGCGCCTTGGCAGGGAGCAGTGTTCTTGGGGCGGGGGGTCCCCCTCACTGCCCAGAGCACCCCTCCCCCAGGGGTACTACCGCCGCACGGCCGAGTACTTCCCCACGAAGAACCGCCAGCGCCGGGGCTGCTTCCGGGTCCCCATGGTCCACTCCACCTTCCTGGTGTCCCTGCGGGCGGAGGGGGCGGCCCAGCTCGCCTTCCACCCCCCTCACCCCAACTACACCTGGCCCTTCGACGACATCATCGTCTTCGCCTTCTCCTGCCAGGCCGCTGGTGAGGACAGCTCTTCTCCCTGATCCTCCCCTGGGAGCCGCCTGGCCTTCACGCGTGCTGTTCCCTCTGCTTCGCATGCCCTTCCCGGCCCGCGGTTCAGAGTGGGCGGCGCTGTCCTGGGTGTCTGTGCAGGGGAGTCGCCCATGTCTGTGGTGCAGACACACAGGAAGGACACAAGTCACGTGTCAGAAGTGAGAGACAAGCCGGGACCGGTTTGGCTCAATGGATAGAGCATTGGCTTGGGGACTGAAGGGCCCCGGGTTCGATTCCGGTCAAGGGCATGTACCTTGGTTGCGGGCACATCCCCAGTGAGGGGTGTGCAGGAGGCAGCTGGTCGATGTTTCCCTCTCATGAATGTTTCTAACTCTCTGTCCCTCTCCCTTCTCTGTAAAACATCAATAAAAAAATATTTTTATAAAGAAACATCAATAATGAGAGAGAACCATTGATTGGGTGTCTCCTGCCCGCCCCACACTATAGGGATCGAGCCTGCAACCCAGGCACATGCTCTGAACCATGACCTCCTGGTTCACGGGTTGATGCTCAACCACTGGGCCACAGGATATCGTGCCCCTGCCCTGAGGAGTTCGCAGTCCATAGAGGATAGAGCGTAAACAGTGATTACAATAACGGTGGCAGGTCTTGCAGAAACGAAAAGGCGGCCAGTGGAGGCCGGCTTGAAGGGAACAAGAGAGGGTGTGGGTTGAAGTGCAGGGATGGGGTCAGAGGTGCTGGCTGGGGCTGGCTGGGGCTGGATCTGGGCAGAGGCAGAGTGAGGACAGGAAGCCTTGGCGCCCCCACGTGGTCTCCTATGGCTGTCTCGCTGACTGTGGGCACGGAGTTGGCCTGTTCCTGGCCCCTGAGGCTGCAGACTCTGTCTGTCTTGCTCACGGCCATTGCCCTGGCAACCAGCAGGTGTTCCAGAAACACCATCCAAATGAGTAAACCGCCTCGGCAGAAACCTCCCTCCGATTTTTTTTAATTTTTTTTTTTTTTGAGCCCAGCCCTTCCCAATCCCACAGGTGGGGCCAGAGCCCCGGGGAGGACTCACTCGGGACCCTGGCAGGCCTGGGTGGGTCTGAGAGCCCTGCCCCGGCCCTCAGCCAGCCTCTCTCCACAGGAGTCCCGGTCCACGTGTGCAACGAGCACCGTTATGGGTACATGAACGTCCCTGTGAAGTCCCACCAGCAGCTGGAGGACGAGCGGGTCAACTTCGTCCACCTCATCCTGGAGGCGCTGGGTGAGGGCTGGAGCCGGGCGCCGCCTGCTGCCCCCGCTCCCCCTCCCTGTGCCCCTTCTGGGCTCAGGCCTGCCTGGCATCGGGCTCGGGGTCCCAGCCTCACCCCTAACACCTCCCCTGACTCTGGGCAGGTCCCATTCTCCACTGGGCCTCAGTCTTCCCATCTGTACGATGGAGGCAGGCAGGCTCTGTGATCTCTGAGGGCCCTTTCTGCTGGGCGTTCTGCCGAAGGGACAGGAATGGGGGGGCGGGGGGAAGGACTCCAGGGTCACTGCCAAAGGCGCTCGTGATTGGGGTGCTCTCCTCTGCAGTGGACGGGCCCCCTATGTGGGCCTCGGCTCATGTGTCCCGGCCCCCGAAGCGTCCCACCACGATGGGGTTTGATGAGGTGAGTTGCCTCAGCCTGCAGGACTGGGGTCAGGAGGTGGGTGGGCCCCTCCCCTGCCCTGCACCCACTCCCCGCTCCCCCTCTCCTGCCTCCTCCAGGTCTTTGTCATCAGCCTGGCCCGCAGGCCCGACAGGCGGGAGCGCATGCTGAGCTCGCTCTGGGAAATGGAGATCTCTGGGCGGGTGGTGGACGCTGTGGATGGCCGGTGAGGCCCCTGGGGACCCTGGGCGTGGGGGGGCAGTGTGGGCCATTGGGGGGGCCCTGGGCAGCGGGGGGCAGTGTGGGCCACTGGAGTCCCTGGCCGGCGCCCTCACCCCGTTACACCTGTCTCCTCAGGGCGCTCAACAGCAGTGTCCTGAGGAGCCTCGGCGTGGACCTGCTCCCTGGCTACCAGGACCCCTACTCCGGCCGCTCGCTGACCAAGGGGGAGGTGGGCTGCTTCCTGAGCCACCACGCCATCTGGGAGGAGGTGAGCACCGCCCCTCGGCACCTCAGGGAGCAGGGCCCCCATTCCTGCTCTGCCCAGCCCTGGAGGGAAGGGTGGGTGGTCGAATACATTAGCAAAGGCTCCGCAGCTTTAAACCTGACAACACTACACCGTGGTCATTCTCTGTGAGCACCTACTGTGTGCTAGGCGCTGTCCTCTCTGAGAATACAGAGAATATGCAGCCCTGGCCTCCTGGGGCTCAGGGACCAGAGCGGGAACTGGAATCAAGGAAAAATCCACCAGCCTCTGAAGGAGGTACGCAGGCTGCCCTAGTGTGCGGGCTGGCCTGGGCTTCTGGCTCAGTGTGGGGCCCGCATGCACCTCGCCATTGACAGGCGAAGAGAAGGGCCTCCTTAGCAAAACACACACACACACACACACACACACACACACACACAGTAGGAGCAAAGGCCTAGAGGAGGAAGGAGTAGGTTGTGTCCAGGGTGGGAAGAAGGGCCTCAGTCCAGGGCCAGGGTGTGATGACTCTGAGAGGCCCAAGGGGCGCCCCCTGCCGGAGGCAGTGCAGACTCCCTCCTTGTTTTCATTCTTTGCCAAAATGTGTGTGTGTGAGCTTCTATTCCGTTGTTCCCAGGCCTCTGAACAGACGGACACACGATGTACATTTCACATTTGCTGAGCTCATTTCATGTTCCTTTCACACTTGCAAAAGCTTCGGAAAGTGCGTTTTCTTAGCCATGTTGGGGGCTAGGGTCTCCCCCACCCCGCCCGCCCGGCCTCCTTTAGGAAGAAAAGCGCAGGAGGCCCAGTGAGCGCCTGGGCCCCGCAGTCCAGCAGGTGCCGGTCCAGATCCGGGCTCTGCCACTTTCGGCCTGCGTGTCCTTGGACCCGTGGCTTCCCCTCCCTCCCTCTCTCTCCTCGCTGCGGTCCAGGGCCGTCGTGTGCGCTGCCCCTGAGGGTCCCTGTGGCCCCGGGGACTCGGCGAATGCAGCTCGGCTCCGTCGCCATCATGAGCCTGCTGGGCGCTGGGACGGGTGTGGGGGGCCTTGCAAGCCAGAGCGGGCTGGGGTTTCCGCCCCCTGGCGGGGGGCCTGCAGGCTCTGGAGCAGCGGAGTGACGTGGCCGGGACTGAGCAGCTGGCATGCACATGAGGCCAGGGAGGGGTCAGTGTTAGCCAGGCGGAAGGGGACAGCCCGAACCTAACACACACACACACACACACACACACACACCCGCACACACACACCCGCACACACACACACACACACACACACACCCGTGCACGCACACACACACACACACCCGCACACACCCGCACACACACACACACCCGCACCCGCACACACACACACCCGCGCACACACACACACACACCCGCGCACACACACACACACACACACACACACCCGCACACACCCGCACACACACCCACACACCCGCACACACACCCGCACACACACACACACTCACACACACACACACACACACCCACACACACCCGCGCACACACACACACACACACACACACCCGCACACACACACACCCGCACACACACACCCCCGCACACACACACACACACCCGCACACACACACACACACACACACACACACACCCGCACACACCCGCGCGCGCACACACACACACACCCGCGCACACACACCCGCACACCCACACACACACACCCGCCTCTCACCACAGGTGGCTGCCAGGGGCCTGGCCCAGGTCGTGGTGTTCGAGGACGACGTGCGCTTCCAGAGCAACTTCAAGGGGCGTTTGGAGAGGCTGATGGAGGAGGTGGAGGCAGAGAAGCTTCCGTGGGACCTGATGTAGGCAGTGGGCACCCCCAGGGCAAGGGAGAGGGCAGCCTGGGGCGGTGTCTGCCTCCTGCTGGAGCCTTCCTTCTCCCACCTGGTGCTGGAGGGCGGGCTGGGTCCTGTGACACACCAGGCCCTACAATGCCTCCCGGGACCCTCATGTCGCCTGCAGCTACCTCGGCCGGAAGCAGGTGAACCCCGAGGAGGAGGTGGCCGTGGAGGGGCTGCCGCGCCTGGTGGTGGCCGGCTATTCCTACTGGACGCTGGCCTACGCCCTGAGCCTGGCCGGCGCCCGCAAGCTGCTGGCCTCCCAGCCGCTGCGCCGGATGCTGCCTGTGGACGAGTTCTTGCCCATCATGTTTGATCAGCACCCCAAGTGAGTCTCGGGGGGGGGGGGGCGGCAGGCAGGGCAGGCCCGCCTCAGCTAGTCACGCACCCCCTGGCCGCGCAGGTGGGGAGACTGAGGCGCCAAGGCGTGGTCCAGGAGCCCCGCCTCGCCCTGGAGGCAGACTCCCCGAGGGGTGGGCTCTGCTGGCCATGTGGCTTCTAGTGAGGCGACTTCCAGTTCTAGGCCTCAGTTTCCCCATCTGGGAAAGGGTGTGAGGGAAGCCAGGCCTCATGTCTGCGGTGAGGTGGAGATGGGGAGGCTGGGAGGTGCAGGAGGCTGCAGGCGGGGCTCACCCCGGCCCCTCCGCTCCCCGCCCCCTGCTCTCCCTCCCAGTGAGCAGTACAAGGCGCACTTCTGGCCTCGGGACCTGCAGGCCTTCTCCGCCCGGCCCCTGCTCGCCGAGCCCACGCATTACGCGGGGGACGCCGAGTGGCTCAGCGACACGGAGACCTCCTCCCTCTGGGACGACGACAGTGGCCGCCTCACCAGCTGGAGCGGCTCTCACAAGACCCTCCGCGGCCCCCGCCTGGACCTGGCCGGCAGCAGCGGGCACCGCCTCCATCCCCGCCCCCGGGACGAGCTCTAGGTGCGGGCTGGGCCTGGGTGTCCTCTCCCCTTCATGGCACCTGCGTCTGGTCTGTGCTCCCCCTTCTCAGCCTGTCTTCTCTCCCTCTCTCTCTTTCTGTCTGTCTCCCTCCTCCTCCTCCTCCTCCTCCTCCTCCTCCTCCTCCTCCTTCTTCTTCTTCTTCTTTTCTCTCTCTCTCTCTCTCTCTCTCTCTCTCTCTCTCTCTCTCTCTCTCTCTCTCTGTGTGTGTTTCTGTCTGTGTCTTGGGCTGTCTGCATTTCTCCATCCACTTCTAGCTCTCTGTGTGTGTGTCTGTTTCTGACTCTTTGTTTCTCTGTATCTGGTGCCTCTCGCTCTCTCTGATTCTGTCTGCCTCTCTGCTCACCTCTGATTGTCTGTCTCTGACTATATCTGCCTGTGTGTGCCTGCCTCTCACTGTCTGACCCAGCTCTGTGTCTCCCAGGAGAGGCCAGTACTCTGTGTTTCCCTGGAGCAGAGTTGGAGATTGCTGGCGGGAGCCGCCACTAGGAACCAGACCCAGGGGAAACCAGCAGACGCCTTGGGCATGGCCACTCTGCCCCCTGGCCCCGTCGTACGTCGGAGAAGCCAGAGATGCGTCTCCGTGTCCGAGGTCACGGCATGGAAGGGCAGCGTCTGCAGGCCCTCTTCCCTGCCTGCCTGCCTGCCTCACGGCCTGCGGGGAGGCACGTGAGGGAGGCTCAGGCTGGGCAGACACAGGGGCCCTGCCCTCCCCGAGGACCCAGCTGCTGGGGACCCTCCCCCTTCTACCTCCACCTCAGCTGCCCCCTCCTACCAGCTCAAAGCTGGACCCCCAGTCACCGGGAAGTGCAAGGTGGCGAGAGGAGGACCCAGCAACCAGGAGGCCCTCAATAAAGTCAGCCGGTGTTTGCACTTTACGTTTTTGTTTGTTTGTTTGTTTTTTAATATTTTATTGATTTTTGTACAGAGAAGAAGGGAGAGAGATAGAGAGTTAGAAACATCGATGAGAGAGAGTCATCGATCAGCTGCCTCTTGCACACCCCCCACTGGGTTTATGCCCGCAACCAAGATACATGCCCTTGACCGGAATCGAACCTTGGACCTTTCAGTCCCCAAGCCGACGCTCTATCCATTGAGCCAAACCGGTTTCGGCTGCACTTTATGTTTTTTAACTCATGGCTGAGCCTCTTTGCCTGTCAGGAGGTCTAAATTTGTAGGTGAGCGGCTGGAGGGACAGAGGGGAGTGCAGCCTGGAGGCAGAGCCGGGCCCACCCGGCTGGACGTCTACTGGCTGGTAAAGTGGGGTGGGAAGCAGCCGAGCCCACAGTGAGTGCTCCCTCTCTGGGCCTGTCAAGGGCATCACAGGCCTCACCTTGCAGGTCAGGGAGGGCCTAGGCCAGACCCAGGGCTGTTGATGCCTCCTGCCTTTGGATCTTCCCCTGTGGAGCTGGGACCCTCTGGTGGAAGTGGCTGGGGAGATCAGGCTCCCCTCTGGCCTGAACCAGGGTGGCCGCCAGAGGGCGCTAGGTGGCCGCGCCTGGACCTCGTGGGCCAGGGCGCCCTCTGCTGGTAGGGGAAGGGAGCCTGGAGCATTTGAAATGCGTCCCTGTGCTGTGGCTTAGCAGCAGCAGCTGTGTCCGCCCTTCTGCTTGGGACTGCAGGCCTTCTTCCACGCGCCCCACCCCTCCCCTCAGAGTCTAGCCACCGTCTCCATGCCTGCACTCAGGCAGCTGGAGGGGCGGGGAGGTGGCTGCCTCGGCCTCCGCAGCACAGGACTGTGGCATGGACAGCTCTAAGTCAGACAGGCACCCCCAGAGACTGGGCTGGCGATGAGGCCCAGCTGGTCCGGCTTCGGATCCAGGACCTGGCATGGCTGTGAGGAGGACTTGGGCCAGGGCTGTGGGGCTTAAGATTTGTTTGTTCTGAGAGTGAAAGCCATTGATTCTGGATGGCTGTGACCTGGAGCTATCACTTCTCTCCAGGCTTCCGATGTCCTCCCCCCCCCCCCTTTTTTTAATCTTTTTATTGATTTCATAGAGGAAAGGAGAGGGAGAGAAACATCAATGATGGGAGAGAACCACTGATGGGCTGCTTCCTGCATAGCCCACACTGGGGATCAAGCCCACAAACTCAGGCATCTGCCCCAACTGGGAATCGGACCATAACCTCCTGAGCCACACCAGCCAGGCTCCCCAGCATTCTTTAAAATGAACATTATTGAGCACCTCCTATAAGCCAGGCTTGGGCGGCAGACATACAGCAGTAAATAAAACAGACAGATGTCAGCTCCATGAGGTTGGGAACTGACATTCTAGTGAGGGAGGCAGACAAAACAAGTAAATATTTGAGGGTAAGATGTAGAAAAAAAAAAAGGAAAAAAGGAGGAGATGTCAAGTATGATCTGAGAAGTTAACATCTGAACAAACACTTGAAGGAGGTGAGGGGGCCCATGATGGGGAACCTGAAGGAAGGCCATTCCATGCCACGGGTGCAGCATGTGCAAAGGTCCTGAGGCAGGAGGGGCAAGTTCAAAAGCAGCAAGGAGGCCAGTGTGCTGGAGCAGAGGGAGCGAGGAGCCACGGTCTGGAGATGATGGAGCCAAGGTCAGGGCCAGAGCAGAGAGGACTGTGGAAGCCACTCTGGCTTTTACTCTGAGATAAGGAGCCCCGGAGGATTTCAGGCAGAGAAATGGCTTAGATTATAACACCATCACCCTGGCTACTGTACTGAGCATGAACTTAGGGCAGACATAGGGACACAACCCGGTAAAGTCATTTAGGTGAGACACATGGTGCCTCACTCCACAGGGTGGGGCGGGGGTGCTGAAAAGGTAGAGCCCACAGAATTTCCAGAGAACACACTGCAGACACTGCCCCAGGAGCCGCCCTGGCCCAGGCCAGCCCCTCGGCATTCTTCAGCATTGCCGGCGAGCGCCTGGGCCTCACCGCCTTCCAGCTCTGCAGACCGAGGTCCAAAGTCAGCAGAAACGGCCCGCGCTGAGCACTGGGGAGGGATTTGGCCATGAAGGGTCCTGCCTTCACAGAATGATTCTGGGATCCGTGTGCCAGGCTGGTGACTTCACACCACATGGTGGCAGAGGCGGCAGGTCCGTCCAGGGAGGAATGAGAGTCACCCTGGAGCACATGCGTCCTGGCATCTTCTCCCTGGCGGAAGTTGGGCCAACACAAACCGTCCCAGCTCTTTTTGGCGCTGCCAGGCCGGAGTGCGCGCTTGGCAGGCACGTGGCCTTTGGGAGGCGAGAAAGGGCACGGGGACTGGGGACCCGTAGAGCATCCTGGGTCCGGGAGTGACAAGACCAGTAGCAAGCAGGTCCCCACAGCTGGCTGTGGACAGTGCCAACATTTCCTCCTGTTTTAACCATTGGGCCATCCCTTCCACACCCACTGCTCACGACACCTGCCATCTCTGTGCTCTCGCTGCTGTGGCTGGGGTTCCATGTTGTCCTTGTCCCCTTCCGAGTCCTCCTGGATGAAGAGTTGTTGATAATTTTGAAATTAAAACCAAACAACATCAACAAGAGACAGGGAGAAGGAGGAGGAGGTGAGGAGGATGCCAGCGCTGTCGGCAGAATTCCTGGAAGGATGGAGGTGCCATGGACTGGAGTGGAGAAGACCACGGTGGGGCTGGTCTGGGGACAGGTCAGGAGGTCACAGTCAGACGTGCCAAATTTGAGATCCAGGAACAGATGCCGGGTAGGGGTTGGACCCCTGAACCAGGAGTTCAGGGTTCAAGTCTGGGCTAGAGCTAGAAGCTTCATTGAAATCCTGTCCTGACCCAGAGCCCGGGCCCTGACACGCACACTCTGGCACTGCCGACCAAAGAGCTTGTTAAAACACAGGTACCTGCCCCTCCGGCCCCCTGCAGGGTCGGATCCAGTAGCTTCTGGGTGGAGTCTGACTAGTTATTTTTTTATTTTTGTTTTTAAAGATCACTTCCCCACCCCATCTATGTGAGAGTGGGAGGGAAGGAAGAAGGGGGAGAGGAAGAGACAGAGAAACATAGATGTGAGAGAGACACATCGATTGGTTGCCTCCCACACGAGCCCCAACCAGGGCCAGAGATCGAACCTGCAACCCACATACGTGCCCTTGACTGGGAATGGAATCAAACCCACACTGGCCAGGGCGCCTGGCTGGTTTGAACGGACCACTCCATGTCATTCGGAGGAGCTGACAGATTTGGGAGCCCTGCTCCATCTACCTACAGCTCATTTTGTATAATAATGTGTTTGATGATATTTGACAACATAAACAGTCATGTCACTGCCACTACAATGCAGACAGGGAATCTATGCGATTAAAACTGCGGCTTCCCCACTCCCCTGTGCCCGTCTGCAGTCAGCTCTCGCTCCAGCCCCTGGAGACTGCTCATGGCTTTCCATCCCTGGTTTGGCTTTTCCAAACTGTCATACGGATGGACTCAAACAGCAGGTGGCTTTGGTGCTGCCTTCCTTTTTATCCAGCATCACGCTTCATTATTTATTTAATCCTCACCTGAGGATATTTTCCCATTGATTTCCAGAGAGAGTGGAAGAGAGAGGGAAAGACAGAGAGAAATATCAATGTGAGAGAAACACATCGATTGGTAGCCTCCTGCATGCGCCCTGATCAGGGTCTGGGCTGGGGAGGAGCCTGCAATCGAGGTACTAGGCACATGCCCTTGACCGGAATCGAACCCAGGACCTTTTGTCCCCAGGCTGATGCTCGATCCACTGAGCCAAACCAGCTAGGGCTTATGTGGAAGTTTTATACAAACTGAGCTTTAATATCTTCCCTAAAACTTATACTATAACTTCTCATCTGAATTTGTATTATGAAGAATGTGTTGTGAAATTTTTATCAAGACTAACTCTAGCTCAACCACTGAGCCACCCGAACTACTCAGAGGCTGTGCAAATAGTTTGGGTTTCTACGCGCCCTGCTGCCTGAGGCTCACTGCTGCTTGGAGGCGGGCGGGGGGGGGGGGGGGGCAAAGGGAGTGGGATGGGGTCAGTGGGCAAGGACCGTGTTTACTAACCTCCTCCTGAGGGAGGGCTGCTACTCCGCTCTGCCCCCACCCCGGTTGTGTGCAAACCAAGGGACAAGGGGCTTCGTAGGAGTAAGTGGCAGTGGCTTTTGTGCATCGGCTGTTTGCTAACTGTTTTGCCTGTTCAGGGATCATGCTTTTTAAAAAAAAATTTTTATTGATTTTAGAGAGGAAGGGAGGAGATAGGAGCATCAATGATGAGCGTGGGGCATGGCTACAGTGTCTGCACAGGTTCAAGCCTCGGGCTGATGAGAGGCCACAGTCCTCTCGGGGCCACGTGCAAGCCCCAGCTGGAGGGCGGAGCCTCCCGCATGGTGACGGCCAGCAGCTGTGGTTGTGAGCGTGAACCTGTGGTCCAAACACTGGCCCCACGTGCCTGAGTGACGTGGGCCGCAAGTAAACAAGGCCTGGCCAGGTGCATGGAACGTCTTGGCCACGCCCTTTCTGAGCCTCGTGGCATCGGCTACAAAATAAAGGCACGGCTTGTGGTCTGTGGCGCTGCGGGGTCCCCATCAGGTGAGTCCCAGCTTTCCTTCTCTTTTCTCAATCCTTCACCGCGCCCCCTAGGGGTCACCCTTGGCCGTGTTGGCGCGGCACAAGACAGGCTCACCCATGGGCTGCCTCCTGCACGCCCACAGCGGTGCCCTGACTGGCAATCAAACCGAGACCTCCTGGTTCATAGGTCGAGGCTCAACCACTGAGCCACGCCATCCAGGCTGTTCAGGAAGCTTTTTGTCTCCCTCTGGTCTCGGGTGAACTGTGGACACTGGAGGGGGCCCTCCCTGGACGGTGATAGTCTCTGCAAACCCTGATGTTGTCTTTTTTTCTTTCTTTTTTATTGATTTCAGAGAGGGGAGAAACATCAACAATGAGAGATAATCAGAGGCTCATTGATCTGCTGGCTTCTGCACACCCCCACAGGGTAACAAGCCCACAACCCAGGCATTTGGCCTGACCAGGAATTGAACTGGGAACCTCTTTTTTTTTTTTAAATATATTTTATTGATTTTTTTTTTTACAGAGAGGGATAGTTAGAAACATCAATGAAAGAGAATCATCAAACAGCTGCCTGCAACCAAGGTACATGTCCTTGACCGGAATCGAACCCGGGAACTTTCAGTCCGCAGGCCGACGCTCTATCCACGGAGCCAAACCTGTTTCGGCAGAACTGGGAACCTCTTGGTCCTGGCTCAAGCTCAACCACTGAACCACACCAGCCGGGCCTTGATGTGGTCTTGATAGCCACAACCTGAGCCCTGGTGACAGAGAAAGCTGGCTTGTGTTCTGTCTCAGCCCTTTCTATCTCTGTGACCTTGGGCAAGTGTACTGACCTTCCTCTAGCCTCAGTTTTCTGCTCTGTAAAATGGGGCTAGCCCTCACGCCAATCTTACTGTGTAGCACGAGGATTCATGAGCTGAAGCAAGCGGCACAGTGGCCGCCAGAGGGAGTGCTGCATTGCTGGCTCACAGTGACCTTCCAGACAGTCGGGGTGAATCAGGGCGGACTTGGAGGTCTGCCTGAGTCAGAACCAAGAGGGGAGGTTCTGGAAACCAATGGCCTAACTTGCAGTGCCACCACAATGCCACTTACCTGTCCGTGCCACGCGAGCCAGGCCTGTCCTCTCTGCAAAATGAAGGGGCACAAGCTTTGCCCTCTAAGATGCCTCCTGATGGTCGGGGAAGTGGTTCTCAAACTGGGGAACTTATTGAAACACAGACTGCTGGGCCCCACCCGCAGAGTTTGATTCAGTAGGTCTGGCGGGGGGGGGAGGGGCAGGGAGTCCAAGACTTTGCATTTCTTTTTTTTAATATATTTTATTGATTTTTTACAGAGGGAGAGAGCGAGCCAGAAACGTCAATGAGAGAGAAACATCGACCAGCTGCCTCTTGCACACCCCCCACCGGAGATGTGCCTGCAACCAATGTACATGCCCTTGACCGGAATCGAACCTGGGACTCCTCAATCCTCAGGCTGACGCTCTATCCATTGAGCCAAACCGGTTTTGGCAAGACTTTGCATTTCTAATGAGTTCCTTGGTTTGCTGCTGGTGCTGGTGCAAGGACCACAGCTGAGAGAGCCCTGGTTGGGATGATTGGGGAACCAGGACTCTCCGCTGAGCCCAGAATCCGTCCAACCTCAGAGGCAGGGCCAGGGAGTGGGAGTCAGAGGCGAAGAGGAGCCAACCTCATGGGGCCTACAGGAATGTTCCCTTCCAGCTGCACCTGGGACCGAGGTCTCTCGTCACCTGGAGAAAAAGCCAGACCCTCCGGGGCGGATCCCTTCTCCCGGGCCTGGCGTGGGAATTGCATCAGGCCCCTGGAGGGGGCTCCTGGGTGGAAAGAACTGGTAATCAGACCCTTGGGCGAATGGAAAGGCTGGAGTGGGAGCCGGAGGGCTCAGGCTGTGAGCTGCGCAGGGGCTGGGCTCAGCTGCAGGTGCAGCTCCCCCTTTACTTCTCCTTCATTGTTGAAATTTAAAAAAACAGAATACGCTTGTATCCTCTACCAAAATTTGCAGTCTTTTTCTCCAGCTGGTGTGGCTCTGGCTGAGCACCGACCTGTGAACCAGGAGGTCAGGGCACACGCCCAGGCTGCGGACTCGGTCCCCAGTGGGGGGCGTGCAGGAGGCAGCTGATCAGTGATTCTCTCATCATTGATGTTTCCCTCCCTCTCTCACTCTCTCTCTCTCTCTCTCTCTCTCCCCCTCTTTGAAAGCAATAGAAAATATTTATTTTAAGAATAAACAGAATGAGAAAAAGAAAATTGCCAGTGTTAGCATTTTGAGATAGTGGCTTTTGGTTTTAAAAATGCCGATCTCTTTTATTTCTCCTCCTGCATGCTCCCTCCTGGGGATGGAGCCAGAAACCCCCAGCATGTGCCCTGATTGGGAATCGAACCAGCCACCCCCTGGTGCTGGGTCAGTGCTCAACCACGGAACAACACTGGCCAGGCTGCTGTGTTATACATAGTTAAACTGAACATCTGCACGGTGCTTGGGCTGAATTGTGTCCCCCACAGTTAAAATGTCGAAGTCCTGCCAAAACCGGTTTGGCTCAGTGGTAGAGTGTCGGTCTGCGGACTGAAAGGTCCCGGGTTCGATTCCGGTTGGGGGCATGCACATTGGTTGCGGGCACGTTTCCAGTAGGGAGTGTGCAAGAGGCAGCTGGTCAATGTTTCTCTCTCATCGATGTTTCTGGCTATCTCTCTCCCTTCCTCTCTGTAAAAAATCAATAAAATATATTAAAAAATAAAATAAAATGTCGAAGTCTTAACTCCCAGAACCTCAGCACGTGACCTTCTTTGGAAACAGGGTCATTGTACATGAACGTGGATAAGATGAAGTCACATTGGGTCCCTAATATCGTGGGTCCCTAATCCAGTATAACTGCTGTCCTGGTAAAAAGGAGGAATTTGGCCCTGGCCGGGTAGCTCAGTTGGTTAGAGCAGTGGTTGGCAAACTCATTCGTCAACAGAACCAAATATCAACAGTACAGTGATTGAAACTTCTTTTGAGAGCCGAAAACCGACTTCTGCGCATGGGCTGTGAAGTTTCAATCACATTGTACATGCGCGCCCACACGTGGTATTTTGTGGAAGAGCCACACTCAAGAGGCCAAAGAGCCGCATATGACTCGTGTGCCGAAGTTTGCTGACCACTGGGTTAGAGCATTGTGCAGATGCACTAAGATTATGGGTGCCATCTCTGGTCAGGGCACATACAAGAATCAACTAATGATTGTATAAATAAGTGGAACAATAAATCGATATTTCTCTCACACAAAATCAATAAATAAAAAAGGAAAGGAAGATTTGCACTCAGACATGCACACAGGGACAACACGAGGTGTACACTGAAAGTTCTGCCAACTGGAAGCTGCGAGGAGCCAGGAGAGAGGCCGGGACAGGTCCCTCCCCAGCGCCTGCAGAGGGAGCCTCGGCCTGCTGGCACCTTGACCTCAGACTTTTAGCTTCCAGACCTGGCAGACAGCGCCTTTCTGCTGTTTAGTCACTTCGTTGTGGCAGCCGCAGCAAACTACAACACATGACATAACCTCTTCATATATGGTTTAATTACCAAAATGTAATATATAACATAAGAAATACACATGTATCTTCCACCAAAATTTGCAGTCTTTTTCTCCATGAATTTATATTCGTCCCCCTCCCCCAAGCTGCTGCACAGGCTTACTAAACACCCCATTCTGCAGTCTGTTTTCCAGCCAATATGGCATGATTATTGCCTGGCCGGCATGGCTCGGTGGTTTAGCACCGACCCATGAATCAGGGGTAATAGTTCAGTTCCATCAGGCACCTGCCTGGGTTGTGGGCTCAATTCCCAGTAGGGGATGTGCAATTGCATCATCATTGATGTTTCCATCTCTCTCCCTCGCCCTTCCTCTCTCTGAAAGCAATAAAAATGTATTAAATAAAAGAAAGAAAGGAGCCATTGCTGACCAGGCTTAGAGTGGGTTGCATTCAGAACACACGGTCTAGCAATCCAGAGAAACAGCAGAGTAACTCAAGTGCTTACAATTCCCAAACTCCTCAAAGGGGCGGGTACCCAGACGACACCTGTACTTCTAAAATTCCTCTTTCCCTTCTCACCCCATTCTTTACACACGCCAGGTGTCCCTGTGCCCTCTCTTCGGCACCCCTACCCCCACACCTCCTTGTTCCTGGTCTTTCCCTTCTCCTCCTCCTTCCTACCCAGCTCTAAGCTCCAAAGGCATGGAAGGAGCCTTCTCAGGTGGTGGGGAGGGAAAAACCACAGAGGCAAAACCCTTCAGTGGATGGGCAGGGAAAAGCTTCAATCGTGTTATCTGGTCCCGTTATGGCGGTCAGCTGTGGGCCCCTCGCAGACTGGCGGGATGTGTCGGCCTAGTGCCCTTCACATCTAGGGGTTTAGCACATAGTAGGGACTTATTGCTTCAATGAAGGTGGGAGCGTTGACAACCAAGTCTATCTTGGGGCTAGCAAGAGACATTTTACAGAGGTGTTTGACCTAGGCCCGGAAGCAGGGAGTTTATCTTGGGCAGCAAGGACTTCTCTTCCTCTGAAGAGTGAGTGCGGAGGAGAAAGGGGGAGGGAGGGAGAAGGGGGAGGGTACCCACTGGATGGCTTTCTTTTTCTCTATGAAGGAGAAGAGTCGGGTATGGGATGGGGAAGAGGCGAAGGTTTGGAAGAGCCACCGTGGGGAAGGGGAAGGGGGAGGGTTTGGGGACAAACAGAACAATTGCCAGACAGTGGTTTGTGGGCTTGGTGTTCGCAGAGCGTCCGATGGTTGGGTTACAGGGACTGGGGGCCCACCGTTTATCCACCAGGGAGAAAACGAACCGGTCAAAGGGACTGGGATGCTGAAAGATGACTGTGAGAGCAAGGCAGAAAAGCAGGTCTGTCTGGAGAGGATGGAGTTGGAATTTAAAATGTGGGGCAGGGGCCCGGCTGAGGTGCGGGGGAGGCCTCGGAGGTGAGCGCGTCAGGGATCCGGCAGCCAGGTGGGCCCTGAGGATGGTGAAGTCTCTCAGAACCCAGGGCGGAACCCCGAGCCACGTGACAGCCCCTCACGATTGGCTGACAGTGGAACATAGTTGAGAAGATGGCGGCTCAGCGAAAACCCCATCACAGAAGGTCTGTACACTCAGTGGCATTCCGTGTACAGGACTCCGTGAGGGGAAGGGGGGCTCGGGCCCTCCCTCACGTCTGGACAAAGACAGGGGAGAGAGGGTGGTGTGCAGAGGCCGGCCCCACGTCTGTACCGACCGCAGAGGAGGAGAGGCAGGGCTGGATCCCAGGTGCAGGGCGCCGCTCAGGCCACCAACTTGTTCTGTGCCGTTTCCTAAAAACGTATTAAATGGAGCGGTTAGGGTTCTGTCGCCCCTCCGAGTTCTGGGACCCGAGGAGGCCCGCGGGCAGGGCCAGAAAGGCGAAGCGGGGCCGCAGGGCAGGAACCCTGGGGCCACAGGGCCGGCCGGGCGGGCCCGCCGGCGGCGTCGCGCGTCTCCATGGCGACGGGCAGCGTGGCCGGAAGTAGGCGGCGCTTACGGCGGGCGGGGCGTCTCTGTGACGCCAGGGTCCGGGCCTAAATGGCGATCCCCGAGAGGCTCACCGGGGGGTTTGAACTGGCCAATGGGCGAGCTCCCGACCGGGTGTCGGAAAAGGAGGCGGAAGCGGGGAGGAGTCGCCGTTGCAGCAGGTCTACATCCGCCGCGGCGTCTCCATGGCACGACCCTGGCCTCCGAGTTCAACGACTTCATAAGGAGGCGTTTCTGGGCGCAGCCGTGTCGCTCCTGGTGAGAGGCCGCCGGCGGGCGGGACCTGGGGCGCTCCGGGGCGTCCCGCCGCCGCCGCCGGGGCCGGGCCCCGTGGCCCCGAGGGTTCCGGCCGGGGTCGCCGCCCCCGCCGCCCCCGCCACCCCCGCCGCCCTGGCCCGCAGCCCGCCGGCCCCGCTCTCGTCAGAACCCGGCCCCGCCCCGCCCACCGGCGCGGGCCTTCTCCTCCCGGTAACTGGCCGGCCGGCCGCCCCCTCCTCACCTGCGACCGGCGGGGCTCGGCTCGCTCCTCTGCTGCCCTCCGGCAGGGCGTCGCCTTCTCTCCTCTATGGGCAGAAACAGGTCCCCTGGTGCCCGCTGGTGGGTGGTCGCCCCTCGGCTGCCGGAGACCGGCCCCCCGCCTCTCGCCTGCCCGCGGGCGTCGCCGGGCTCGCCCTTCCCTCTCGGGGGGCCTCCTCGCACGGCAGTTATTGCCCGATCTCCGGGCGCAGCGCCGTCCCCCGCCCCCGGGTCCACCCGCTCCAGGTCCCGCTCCGCCTCCCGCACGGCCGGGCGTCGAGCCCGCTCTCGCCCGGACCCCGGATCCCGGCGGCCGCCGCTGCGACCGAGCGCCTCTCCCCTCCCCCTCGGCGGTCCCCACTCGCGGCCGGGCGCCCCCCGTCGCTCCGTTCTCCCCTCCTTCAAATACGATTGGTCCTCCCGGGAGCTATTGACCGGGAACGCCCCTTCTCCTAGGAGACTGTTGCCCCGGCCCCGCCACGAATATCCCCACACACCCCCAGCTCCCGGCGCTGGTTGCGGCCCTTTTGGGCCCACTTGGGGCCTCGTGGTTCTCTCCCACCAGCACCCCAGGTTTTCTCCCCGTTGGCCCCCCAGGGTCCCTCCTGGGTGGGGTCCGGGCTTGGCGGTCCTTCCCCCGAGGCCCCGCCTCCCGACCCCCCAGGGGAGGGGAGCTCCGTCCCCCGCTCCCTGGCGCCCGCCGCAGCCCTTTAGGTCGCTCAGCCTCTCCTCTCTCCCCCCACTTTGGCAGGACAGTTGCTGTGCGACTTGGACAGTAGAGAGGAGCGCCTCCCAAGTTTTCATCCAACTGCCACCCCCAAAGCTTCCACCCTCCTCCCCTCAGAGAGGACGTTTGATGCCCGGCCCCTGAGATTCTCATTGACAAGCCCCTCTGAGTCCCCTTGAGCAGAGCCTGCTGACCCAATTGCCCACCTTTGCGGCTTTGATGCCTGGTCATGTCTGCCTCATCCTCAGGCGGCTCCCCCAGGTACTGCCAACGCGGGGGCGCCTCCGCCCGAGGGCAGGGAAGATGGTCAGCAGCCCCCCCCCTCTCCCTCCCCTCCCCCAGGCCAGGCTTGTAGGAGGCTTCTCTTTTCAGCTTCTCTGTTCGGTGTGTTGAAAGTATGGACCAAAATATTTGGAAATCATTTTTTAAAGGGAAGGAGGAGGAGAAAAAGAAAATGCATGCACCCATGCACCCATTCTCAGCTCTGCCCGATCCCCCCCCCCCCCCCCCGGGTGTCCAGTTCCTGGTAGCAAAATAGGGCCACGGTTGTTGTCTCAGTGGAGCACAGGCTCATCCTTTCTGAAAGAAGACAGGGGTCAGGACATGACAGTGGTGCAGGAGGTGGATGTGGCAGTTGGCAAGGAGTCCAAGTGGTTTGGTGAGGAGTCCGCTCAGGACGAGGCGACCCAAATCTACCGGCTTCACGGGAATAGAAATGTTCTAAGTGGGGAAGGGAAAAAAACCTGTCTATTCGATTTTGGTATTTCTTGGTTAAATGATTAGTAGGGCTCAATAAGTTTTTTGTTTTTAATCAAGGTATAATATAATACAGCAAAATGCATGTTAAAAGGCTCAGATTTTTTATATCGCATTTTATGTTGCATCATTTTCCCAGGTATTTGTGGGGAGGGCAAGGTCATATTTGGGGGCTGTCGGAGGCTGTCCGTCTTGGAATTCTTGGATGTGATATTGCCAAATCTGGGGGATTCAGTGTTTGCTACCTTTGCAAATCTGGTGGGAGGGCTGTTTGCATATAAGTAAAATGAATTAACGTGGTGTTTAAAAACAACAACCCAAAACAAAACAACCCAGCTTCTTAGGAGCTTAGGAAGGATCTAGTGGAGTATTTGGGGAACTAGTCATTTTTCTTTTTCTTTTAAAAAAATATATATTGATTTTTTTTACAGAGAGGAAGAGAGAGGGATAGAGAGTTAGAAACATCATGAGAGAGAAACATCAATCAGCTGCCTCTTACACACCTCCTACTAGGGATGTGCCCGCAACCAAGGTACATGCTCTTGACTGGGATCGAACCTGGGACCTTTCAGTCCGCAGGCTGACGCTCATCTACTGAGCCAAACTGGTTTCAGCTGTAACTGGTTTAATTCTGTTGGATCTATGACTGTGAATTTTATGTCACAGGGACTTTGTTCCCGAGGCAGGACTCTATCTTTTTATGCCAGCCATTCCCCGTGCCACCTCTGCTCCGGGCACTGTCCTTCCTGGGCCCTTCCGCCTCACCTACCCCAGCTGTGGCTCATGTGCTGCCTGTTTCTTGTCACCTGACAGGATGACAGCTGGGCTTTTCAGCAAAAGGTCACAATACATGTGATGCGATGGCAGGTTAAAAGGCCGGCCTGTGAATGCCACCGCCGCTGTTTCCATCCCACTGCCGGGCACACCATGCATGTCTGGCGCTCGTGTGAAGGGAGCCACGTGATTCCAGACCAGCTCTCCTAGCCGCCAACCTGTTACCCACCTTATGTAGTGTATACTTTTGGGAGATCTAAGCAATAGAAGAGCCCTAATTTCCTGGTAGTAATCCGGCTCTCGTACCTGGGTGCAGGTTTCCATCGTGTGGGAAGAACGGAGTAACAAGTCTCACGCAGAAAAAGGTCTTGAGGACAGCTTGTGGCGCACCCAGTGTGACCGTTACGGTAGGTGTTGTGTGCCCGGAGCAGCCCCCAGCCTGCAGCCCGCCCAGCCCGCTCTGCACGTCTTTTCCAGGAGCTGCCTCCCCCGCTGGCCCTGCGGCAGCATGGCGCTTTGCTCGGGGCTTCTGCTCGTCCACTGGGGGTGGTTTTGCTTATGGTAAGGCTGCCGGGTTGAGCAGGTTGTCTTACACCAGGACAAATTCCAAAAGTCTTTGGGACAGATTTTAATAATAATAATAATAATAATAATAATAATAATGAAGAAGAAGAAGATAAGATGGGGAGGGGGTAGGAACTGATGGTGAGCAAGGGGTATGTAGCTGGGATTTTGCCTCGTTTATACTTTTTTAGAATCTATACAACCTTCTCACCTTGGCGTTTCCTCCAGCTCTCTCTTTTCATCGACTCTCACCTGTCTGCGGCCTGATAGATTGCCCCGTAATCCTTTTGTGTGTCTGCTGTGCTAACCCGCATGCCCAGTACAGATCATGGCGTAGAAGGATTTCCCCGCTTCCCAGCTGTGCTGCATAAGTCTGAGGAGGAGCTCTGCATGCCAGCAGGCTGGGACGGAGGTCCAGCTCCGAGCCCCTGGGCCTGGGTTTGGCTTTTGTCGAAGCTGCAGGTCTTGCAGAGCCTTCTCTCTGGGTGTCTGCTGGTCCTCAGCCGGCCTCTCTGCAGGAGCCTGCTGGATGCACGCCGCCGCGGTCCCTCCTGCATGCCGGTAGTCAGTAGCTGTCCTGCTCGCTTGGTGGCCAGGCCTTCCGTGGCCCCCCGAGGCTGCGCGTTCTGTGTTTTATGCCCAGTTTGCTCATCACACAGATCAACCTTTTTTGTGTTGTCTTCCTCGGCCCGCCAGAAGCGAACTATGAAGGACCGCTCTTCAACTCCCCCCTTACATGTTCACGTGGATGAGAACACCCCTGTCCACGTCCACATAAAAAAACTCCCGAAACCAGCAGCGGCCGGCAGCCAGGTAGGAGCATGCCATGGGGCAAGGTGAAGGCTGCGGCAGGGCGGCGCTCTCCGCTCAGCCTCCCTGCTCCTAACTGCAAAGGTCGGACAGACGACCGCACTTGCTTCCCGAGGTCAGTGGCCTGGTGAGAAGGTAGGCGGGCCGGCACCAGCAGCCAGAAGAGGCTCCTTGCAGAGCTGGAGATGGATGCCGTCAATCAGTGACACCGAGGCCAGCTGGGTGGGGAAGTGACCTGGTTTGTCCTTTTCCACAGAAATCTCATAAGCGCGGAATGAAAGGGGACACCGTGAATGTGCGGCGGAGTGTCCGGGTGAAAACCAAGGTACCTTGGATGCCCCCCGGAAAGTCATCTGCCCGGCATGTGGGATGCAAGTGGGAGGTAGGCTCACTCTCGTCAGGCTTCTCTCTCGGACCGGCCAGGGTCTGTCTAGCCGGCTCGAGTGCGGGTGGGTCAGGGTCGCTATAGCTGTTAGAGACCCCCTGTAGGTCCCGTTTATTGAGGGCCTTGCTGAACCCCCAAAGAACGTGAGTCTTCCTGAGTCCTCCCAGCAGTGAGATGCGGGGGCCCTGCTCTCCTCCTGGACAGGGAGGAAGTGAGGGCCCGGACAGGCTCAGAAAGGAGCAGAGCTGGAGTGAGTGCTCCAGGGCTCTCATTCTAGGGGCTGTACACTTGACCTTCATTTCTATGTGAGGAGCCACATGTCTGTCCCCATGTTACTAAATAACTGAATCTACATTTATATACACGCACACCAGAATGCACATACCCAGAAGAGCATCGCCTTTGGAGGTGGTCACCGTTAAGACCACGCACAGATTCCACCGTGTCATCAAAGCCACGTTTGGAATAAATTGATGCATAATTGCCTTCAGACTTAGTTGTCAAGATAACAAGAGAACTGTTGTCTTTTTTTAGCCACACCTCAACATGCCTGTCCATCCGTCTCTGCAGTAGTTCAGGCTGCGTATGTTTATTGAGACTTATGCCAGACTCTGCGGGGCGCTGGGCTACACCTGCAGCGTACAGATGTGCCCATTCTAGTCAATTGCAGTGAAAAAACTCAAATGATAAGGTCTTTTGGTCATGTTTTAAACTGAGGTCTCATTATTGGGACAAATAAGACACTTTAGGCTACTTTATGATAATGGTACCTAATCTATTTTGGAAGGTTCCGTTTTCTAAAAGCTTACTACTATAATTAACAATAAATAAAAGTAATTATTCTAAAGTTTCTAATCATACTTATGGTTTTGTCCCTGATTTACCTGTTTGTCCCTAAGAGATTACGGGACTGTGGGGGATTCTAGGGAATAAATGAAAAGTATTCTGACAGCTTTGAGAGGATCATGGAACCGATTCGACTGTTCTGGAGTCAGCTTGGCAGCATCTATTTAAACATTGCTTCTAGTTTTACATTTAGGGATTTATCTGTATTTTAATATATTTTCATTGATTTCAGAGAAAAAGGGAGAGGGAGAGAGAGATAGAAACATCAATAATGAGAAAGAATCATTGATTGGCTGCTTCCTGCATGCCGCCCACTGGGGATGGAGCCCACAATCCTAGCATGTGCGCTTGACCAGAATTGAACTTTCAATCCACAGGCCGACGCTCTATCCACTGAACCACACCAGCTGTGGCATAG